GGCTATGAAATTATGAACTGAGTTCGTTAGGGGGAAAAAAAAAAAAAAAAAAAAAAAAAAAAAAAAAAAAAAAAAAAAACGGTGTCCGGGGGGACTTACTAGAGAAAATGCACTGGAACTGATAACTTACCCTAGCATCTGTTCGGGTTGTTTCCCCCCCCCCCAAAAAAAAAAACATAGCTGCTAGCCTTCTATTTAAATCTGACCACGAGCAGGTACCCTTGGCCCTAATGGGTGACGAGATACGCAGCAGAGGCTGTGGTAGCAGGCACTGTAATTACATACAGCAGCAGGGGAAGTAACTGGGCTGAGCACAGCTACTGCTGCAGTAATTACTGTGCCTGCTATGACAGCTACTGCTGCAGTAATTACTGTGCCTGCTATGACAGTGAGTGCTGCAGTAGTCACTGTGCCTGCTACAGTGAATGCTGCAGTAGTTACTGTGCCTGCTATGACAGTGAGTGCTGCAGTAGTTACTGTGCCTGCTACCACAGGGTCTGCTGCCGGAATCAATCAAATGGTTGCAGACAGATCTCAAACAGTAATTACTTACTTTCCTTTTCTAGTTTTTTTCCCTAGTAAAAACTGTTCTATCTTCTTCTCTCTCCATTATACGTCCGACTAGGTACCTACCTATATCAGGTACTAAGGGGAGCTCATCCAGACGTCTTGATATTGCAATGGGGTTGGGCCTAACCAGGGTGAGATATTGAAGGGATGAAGGGGCCCCTTGGTCTCGGGCCTAACCCCGTGAGAGAAGGAAGGGACAAAGGCGCTCCTTACTGAGACCAACAAGGGGGGCAAGCCCAATATCCGCGGGGGGTTGAATGGAAGACATGGGAAATTGAACCCACGCCCTCCTGAATGCTGCTTCTGTGCTCTACCAACTGAGCTAGGCGGCTGGCCCTCCAGTCACACCCCTCCTCCCGCCCTGTTTCACATCCTTCTGATGGCCTTTAGAATAATGAAGCTAGTAAACCCTCCCATCCTGAGAATTGTATGCAAAGATGTTGAATGCAAAATGGCAAGAATTGTGCAAGACTGTCCTTTTTTTTTTTTTTTTTTTTTTTTGAG